TTTGAAAACACAATAACCAATTTAGGGAAGGAAGATTATAGAAGACATTTATTTACAATGTTGATTTTAAGGTCATTTTAAAAAGATGGTGCATAGGTCAGTGGAAAGTGACAAACAGAAGTTGGAAAAGTGGATTTGAGGTTTGACTGGGAGGTCAAGGCAGGAGAAGTCAAAAACAGCTCCAGATCTTGTGGCTATACATTTTTGGTTATCATCTACATAGCAATACTAATGGATGAGTGTCTGGTGGGATAATATAAAGAGGAAAAGGAAATGGAGGCTCTTGTATTTTGGCACAGGCTGAGCATAGGGCAGAAGTGAGGCCTACCGGAAGGGAGCAGAAGCAAGAGATTACTTAAGTGATTAAAGAATGGTCAGAAGTGACTGGAGCAGAATCAGTAATGTCTTGGTCCAAGGGAGGAGAACTTAATGGAAAATGAGTCCATCAATAGTGATAAATATTGCATAAATGTAAAATTGATGACTGATTTAGTTAGATTTCACAAGCACTGGTTACCTTGGAATTTCAGACAAGCTGCGGGGGTAGAAGCCAAACTGCAGAGGACAAGGGCTAGTGAATGGGGAGAAAATGGGAGGTGGAGCATGAAGAGCAATGAAAGTGGCCCCAAGACTTTTGGAAGGAAAATGGAAATAGGATTCTAGTTTTTATTTTGGCATTTCCCATCTCTGGCTTTGGAGTAAAAAAGGCTTGATTTGAGTACTTGGAGGATTATTAAAGCCCTGTTTAAGATGTGTGTGCCTTCAGCATTTTGTAAAGATGTGTTCATGAAACAAGGCCCCTGTGCTGTGACGGGATGGTAGCTTTTCCCCTTCAATCTCCATCTCATGGCCAGGACCATTCAGTTCATTTCAATCTTGTCCTCACCTTAGGGATACCTCTCCACACAACTGGGCAAGATAAAGTAAATCCTGGCTTAGTGCTGGGTCTCCCAACTCATCTTTTTCTCTGGCAGCCAGATCTTTGACTCTGGTGCAAGATGCAGGATGCAAGGCTGCTTTGAATTTCCTCGGATGTTCTGAAGCAAGGAAAGAGAATATGACTTCATTATAACCTTGAAGACAGCTTTCCTGAGTCATGGAGGAATCAGCTACCAGCAGCTATCAGAGCCTAGGTCTGGCGGGACAAGGAAGCTTCTTGGAGGGAAAACAGGGTGGGTGGTGGTGAGTCAAATACTATCACTGAAGTGTTACTATTTTTATGCCAATGCTTTTTTTCCTCCCTCTTCCCAACCAGGGTAACAATGTTGATTTCATCTTTGCTTTGGGGGTTTACTGATAACTTTTCAGAATTTTGTGTATTTTAAAATAGGCAAACCATGTAGAGAATTGTATATAAAACCACAGTGTAGGTAATTTCTGGAAGGACAGCCACTAAATCTCGTACATCACTGATCTTCCCTAGCGAGGGAATAAAGGGGATGCCAATTGTGTGGTTAGATCTTATTGCTTATTGAAGAGTTTTGTGGCATTATTTACCCTCAGCTATTGAGGACTATTTCTAGTCATCTCCACTCATGCTCAGTTGTTTCATATACTTAGTTACAGTAATCTATTTTGATATACACGGGTAACTAGATTGTTCCTAAATTTAACTTAATAAAGTCTGTTTCTTGTTTATATTGTATGGCTTTCACTTAAGAATCCACAATTTCGGGGGATAAAGGCACATTTCCTAGTAAAATGGGTATTGAAAAGTCCCAGTTGGGGCCTAGAACAAAATCTACTTCTGGCAGTCAGGGAGGAGAGTCACTCAAGTTTCACAGGTCAAAATGGTCAAAGTGAACTTCCTGTTGTAAGACAGATGAAGGGGCGCTGTGTGAGCATGCATCTCAGCTTCACACATGTAGCCTGTAAGCCTCTAACACCTCTGTTTCAGCCCATAGACGAAAAGATTGCAAGCACTAGTTTTTTGTTTAGTCCCCAGATAATGCTTTATTGGAGAAAACATTCTAAGTCTTATATTATTTAAATGAGAATGTACCATTTTCAGGAAGGACTTCCCCTTTTAAGAATGGGAGTTGTTTATTAAGTCTCACTAGGTTGCAGGTATTGCTTGTTCTAATAGCCCAGCTAACACACTTGGTGAAAATCATGTTCATTAATCTTGTCAGTGACAAGCTTCCCCAAACACTTAAATAGCATTCAAGTTACATCTCTATGGATTATCCTCGTAAATATGTAGTTAGGGTACAGGTTGTGTGGTGGGAGGCAGGCAGCAGCATTTATTAAAATTGCATGACACTTTTTGTTAGGTGCAACACATCTATTTCTTCATTTAATAGTTAAAATAGTCTCACAAATTTGCTATCCCCACTTCACAGAAGAGAAAAGCAAGGACTAGATATTGCTATCACAGCTGTCCCTTGCCCAGCAATTAGAGAAGATGGAACATCCATTCTGCAGCAAAGGATGTTTTAGCATTCTGCTAAGGTGCTGCACAACCATTTCCTTTTTTTCTGTTCCAGGAGGGATGGTTTTTAATCACCTGCAAAGTCAACACTAGCTGTCTGGTTATAAGCCAAATGCAGTTTTTTGATAGCTATTCTAAGAATGGAGTGTGTTTTAATAAAGGGCCTTGTATTCATTGGGCTCACAAAGACTTGTTGAAAAATAAAGTTATTTGCCAGGGCTCTGCATATGAATATATTTTGGGCAAGGTCAAAGTCATATGGTGGGGAGAGGGTGTTCCTCTGATCAGGTGCATCAACTCTTCCAAACAAGCCTCTCTTCTTAAGGAGTAGTATTCTTATTTTGTTCCATGTTGCAGTTAGTAATAAGCATGTTTATGAAAACACTATCTTCTCAGTGGGGCAAGGCAGCTGCTCATTCCTTTGCTGTTTATCACAGATGAGTAAGCCTACCAATGGAGTCCCATCTTGACTCAGTTTCCAGACAGTTGTGCCATCCATTTAGAGTTCCCTGAATCCAGCTGTTTATAGTTTCTAGCTTCATCTCAGAGGGCAGGTTTGGTCATTCAGTGAAACTTATCCATCACCATATTGAAATAAGACTACCTCCCATCATAGTAATTTCTCACAAAATTCTACCTTTCCTTTCATCTTAGTTACAAAGTAAAGGAAAGAATTCATAGTGGTACTGAATATCAATAATATAACCCCCACTGAATAATGAAGAATCAGGTTATTTTTCCTCAAGCCCAGCTTTTTCATTCTTGGGTAGAACGTTTTGAAAACAGCCATCCCTGTACAATTTGAATCAACTGTTTCTACCTTCCCACACCCATCATTCAGATCAAGGAAGAAAAAGACAGGGAAGAATGATGGAAATGTTTATTGAGACTGAAATGGAACATTGTTCTCTTTTATGAGTTAACAGCACAGTATGTTAAGAGGCTGGTTACAAACTGACTCCAAAATAAGGCTGACCTGCAGTTCATTAACAGCTCTGCCAACTCTAGTACCTGTAACTGGAGCACCCTGCCAAGGGAGGGACAGCCTAAGATAAATTATTGATTCAACTGCATTTAGAGTTAATTTTCTTCCCACAAACACCACCAATATTTGCACTGTAAAACTCACTGATCAGTGGCCTGTATTTATGATGTTTACATGACAATTCAGTATCATTCTCATAGATTTCAGTATCATTCTCTTGTAGGTGGTCAATACTGATCATTTATTTTCTTTTCCATGATCTCTGGCACCTTTTCTAAAAGGGTACAGGTTTGAACTGACTATGCGATACTGTAGAAATATGACTATTTTGGAACTCAGTATAAAAACAAGTTTATGTTAAGCTTTATTTACAAGATGGAAGCCACAGTACAGACTTAAGTTATCTTCACAAATTAGCAGGAAAATGACAAGCAGTGGATTTTAATGAGTAGGGCCAACATCACTAGGCTACTAGTTAGTTAAACAATCCTTCCCAGAGGAAGAGACAAATGTCACACAATGGAAGAATTTCCCTGAACCACTGATACATGTGTCTCATGTTGTGGGATTTACTCTATAAGAACCCAAGGTAGGGCCAGTGTTTTTCTGTTCAGTGTGGTTTTTCCAAACCATCAAATACAAATTAAAATATAACTTAGCTGGTAGCTTGCCAACATTAGGTACCCTGATGGGTACAGAAGGGCAAAGTACTATAGCTTTTAAGTGGACCTTGGAAGAAAGAAGCTTTCAGTTGGATAAAAACACATTCAACTTTACTTACGTGACACTTTTGCATATAATCTTATATAGAGCTGATGTGTGTTCTATGTCTGATACGGGTTCCCTCCCAGCTGTAGAATCTGGAAGTTGTAAATGAATGGCAGTGCCACCTCAAAGTATCACCATAAAACTTCTCTACTTGGGGGCTGATACACAGATATGTAATGATCAAAACTAATTTCATTCTAGTGCTTCTGAGAGAGGTGTTCTAATAAGCCCTGAAGCAGGTCTGGATTCGAATCATAATCATTATTCAAGTACAAAGAGAGCTCTTTATTTCACATTGACAGTTCAATTCTGATCTCTGTCTGGCAAATTATATGAAAATAATAAATATATACATATATATATATATATATATCTAGCTCTATACTGAACACTGGTTAAGAGTTACCAGCATCCCAATACAGTACATTGAAAAAAGGACCCATCTCCCTGCTCCCATATATTCCCCCACCCCCACCCCAAGCCCCACACCCATCTTAAAACTGTTATTGCAGAACTGTGCTGGTCTGTTTTCTTTCAAAGCAGTTTCTTTGAAATTGTCTGGAGATGAGTTTAAAATGGGCAATTTGGCACATTTACTGGGGGGAGAGGTGTTGTTTAGATGAATTATCATCTATAAAAACTTTAGAGGTTAAAGGAAATCCATGCCGATAGAAAGCCTGAGTAAAAATTTGTAGTTAATGATAAATATTTTTTAAAAAATCCAAAACACTGATCTGTGCATGAGAAAGTGATTTCCTTATTCATTATCTAATTCCAACAGTTATACATATTACACTTCCAAATTTTGTCTCTTACAGAATTTTCAAATTCCAGATAATACAGTTTTCCTTTTAATCAATGTCATTTCATCTTACCTACCACCCCGAAATCCCAGAACCCAGAGAGCAAAAGTTGTGAATCCAAATATAGAAAGTAATCTGGAAGTCTGTATATCAAATCAAATGCACAATTGGCCAATTGTGTTTTCTTTTCCTTAATTATAATTTGAATTTTCTAACAGATGACTTTCATGATAATGTCTTTTATTATTCCAAGTTGTTAGAAGCCAGGGGCTCTAGAACTGTGAGGTCTGGGTGAATGAGATGGTGTCAGACTTGTCTACGGCAAAACCTCCATTGACATAGGACTTCTTGGTGTCTGAGTCTTCATTTTCAAGTATTGTGGATTCCAAGGCAAAGGGGTTCACGATGTTGACTTCAGATGAAACATCCATCTGCTCCAGCTCCTTCTTAGAGAGCTTCTCTACAATGCCTGTACCGTAAGCATCACCAAGGACATTCACCATGGTCCGGAACCGGTCTCTGTGAAAGAGAGGATGAATCAGATAGAAGGACCAGATTCTATTTTCCTTCACCATTGGAGAGAGGCGAGGACCTGAAGTGTTCCTTTATGAATTGAGAAAATGCAGGAATTGGCTGTCCTCACACATGGCTGATGAGAGGTTCCTCTCTTTACAGACCTGGGGCAGTAGGTGGTTGGGAAAGGCACAGAGAGAACAAACAGGTTCCCTGGGGCCTGTGTTCCCAATAAGTCACAATGACTCCTCTAACTGCAGGGCCAATCTCGTTTCCTTATCTCCTCCAGAAGAATAAATTCTTCATACCTATATAGAGAGCTGAAGAAGGATCAGAATTCAGTAAGTCTTTAACCCTTAACCTCTGTCATGTGTGCATTTCAAGGTTCTTTATTGTCTAAGAACTTGGATGTTTTGTGAGTCGAGAATGTGCCAAGCAGGAATGCGTGTACACATGCAAGTTGTCCTGTGAGTTTGTGTGTCCCTGGTATACTTGTTTCTTTATCACATTAGATCATTCAATGAGTAAGCCAGCAGGGATATTGCAGAGCACAGAGCCAGGACACTTAGGTCAGCCCTGGACCCTGAGAGGTACCCTGAGCCAATTGTAACTCCTAGGCAGCATGTGAAGAGACAGGCAGCAGGAAGACATGTAGAAAAGGAATACTAGGGGGGGAATCCTTTTTGATGCTAAAACATTGGTGGTAGGAGCTTGTACATGAGTGTTCATGTGAAAACTGCAAACGAAGATCAGAAAAGGTTAAAAATGGTTACATAAGTTCATTCTGGATGCCCTTCTAAGAATAAGAATAAGAGTATGAATGGAAATAGACCCTGCTATAGACCATGTACCATGGATTAGGTTGTAAGTGAAGTTCATTGGTTCCAGGATCAAAGACAGAAGTGCAAATCCACCACACCCTATAAAGAAAAATCAAAGCACTTGCTTCAATGATAGGTTATCTTTGCAAAAAAGGGACCCCTCAGTAGGAACTTGTAGAAGCAGCAGCTGCTAAGGGGGCCCACATGGTACAGCTTCCCAGGAAGCTGTGCAGGAGCATGTCTCCTGGTACATGAGCATATCATGATATGCACAAAGATTTGATGTTTCACCATCTCAGCTGTTATCTGCAAGCTTCATAGCACAGTACTCCCCACTAAGCCTAAGCTGGTTCTGAATGAAGGATCAGTATGGTGCTACACTTAACCTTGATGGCCAGGGGACAGAACCAGACCGAGATGCTAGAGGGCTGATGCACAAAGTAGGTATCAAGGAGAAAGCTGGGAACCAGGTTTATTCTCACCCTGATGGCCAGCTCTATTACTTAGCTGTGCCCATGCATATGTGTGTGTGTGTGCATGCGAGAGACAGAGACAGAAGAGAAATAGAGGTGACTGTTGAGGCCTGCCTGGTTCAACTCATTGTAATCATCACAAGGCCATTTACTGAGCACATACTGCCTGACACTATTCTATCAACAGATACTCCTCTCATGTTAGCTCTCTCAGTTTGTAATAACACAGTAAGGTAGACAGAATCTTCCCCATCTCACAGATAAAGAAATTGGGACTCATAGAGGTTAAGGAATTTACTCTGACAGTTTTGAAGATTTGGGGGAAGGCAGGCTGATTTTGAGCCAGTTGACTTTGAACCTTTTATGCTGACCTGGGGCTGGGATAGGCTGGAGTAGCCAGTGAGGTTTGGAATGCCTGGAGCTTTAGGTTTTCTGTTTATCTCATCTCAAACCCATCTCTAACCTTGAGCATTACCAGATACAATCAGTTAATCGAGATCAGTGGCTCATTAAAGTCAAGCTCAAAGTTATGAGTTAATTTTTAAACATGTTATCAGATGGCCTGGTCAAAGGGAAATGAAAGCAGCAACAGATGGCTTATTAGGCAATCTGTGGAGAGAATGATGATTGACTGCAGATTCTGCCTCCCCATCCAGCTGAGGCAGTGCTTTACTCTAACTTACAGGAACCAGTCGACAGCGATGATCAGGGTGACATCCTCAGCAGGCAGACCCACTGCGCTCAGCACAATCACCATGGTCACCAGGCCAGCCTGGGGAACCCCAGCAGCTCCGATGCTGGCAGCTGTGGCTGTGACACTGTAGCCAAAATATACCAACACAAAAGGAGTTAGGTACCCATTTCTCCCCTCAGGCTGTTTCACTAGCCTGAAACAGCTAGTGCTGATGGCTGTTACTACTGTCCCCCAAATAAATGTGGCCAGTCCACATTTATTACCTGCTGAGCACTATTCACCTCATTAGAAGCTGTGGGAGTCTTAGGAAAGTGTGAGCTCCTTCTCGGGGAGATAGTGCCATATTTTAACTCAAGGATGCGGAGAGAATTGCATAAGTGGCCATAAAAAATGAGCAAAAGAGATATTCAAAAGGAAATCAAGAGTTCCCCAGCTGGAATATTTCTGGAAGGTTTTATTTACCCATTCATGAGTGCATTCATCCTAAACAGGTGCCAGGTACCTCTTTACCTGCTTTCTTTTCTCCTTCTCCTCCCATCCATTCATCCACCCATACTAAATATCTAGTAAGTGCCAAGAATTCATGCTGCCTTGAAGGATGATACGGGGTTAGTGGTAGTGGTGAATGGGCAAGGTATTTCAGGTGTGGGAAAGGCGTGAGGCAGTGGTCAGGCAGGTTTTACATACTTTCTTGACACCACAAGACTGCTTTGAGAGCTGCCCTTTACCGCACTAAATTGAGAAACAGCTGTGGCTCCTGTCCAAGGTACAAGCTTTTATTCCTGACTATTCTTTTTTCCCAGTGGGTGCACTGTGTGCAACAGGAAGAGAGATCTGGAATCTGGGAGAGGCAGCCAAATGAACTTCATTAGTATATATTTAAAAATATCCCCCATGGGCAGATACAATGTGGCACAAAGGACTTTATCTGTCTGGAAGGTGTAGTTTTTCATAGCAATATCTTCCTTATTTAAATCCAGCCATGTTGGAGGATATGGGCTCACCATACCATGAAAGGTCCCTGGATTAGAATAAGTTCAAAGAGGTACTGACTACACTGGGGGTGTGTCCTCACCCTTGGGCTAAGGCATGAACAGCTTCCAGAATGTGATTAGATTGAAAGGTGAAGATGTAGAACTTGCCAATTTAAACAAGAAGAACTGATGGTTTGTTCTATCCATAGTCCATATGCCTGCGGGTTCACAAGGCCTCGAAGCTGAATCTACTGCCCATTCATCTGTATAGTGATGTGCTGCAGATGGTGTTTATGGGCACAGTCAATAGGGTCAGAGTTCTTTGACAAGTGTGTTCCCTTCACAGCCACTGATTTCCAGTAAGTACAGATTTCTAGCACTGTCTTGATTCCTCTAACAGTACTCATAAATAACCAAATCATTTCAATCTTGTTTGAATATATATATTAAATTTTTAAATAGGCACCTGCATAAACACAGGTGGGCAGAGAGCAGCTGGATATATCAGATGCTTAAAAACTGAAGCCATTTTTGCTGCTACTTTACAACAGTAGTAGCTGCTTGTCCTTCTATTGTTGCTAGTGTTATGATTATTACTACAAAACAATGACTGCTGCCACTACTACTTTGCAGTGACCACTCTTACTCTTGCTACTGAAAAATAGCAACTATTACTACTGTTGCTAATCTTTCCCTCTAAACTCTTTGTAGGCCTTCAATCGTGTTATTATCTTCCACTATAAGAATTTTATCCCACTTTCAATCAGGTGTAGCTTTAGGTAAGTGAATATGATAAAACCACAAAAGGGTATGTTTTGGGGTAGATGGTGCGTCTAGTCCAAAGACCACAGAAAGAAAAAAATGATGGGTACAAGTCTCTTAACTATCTGCATCATGAGGTGCAACTGTAACTTGTGAAGTTAAAATTATTTCATTCTCTTCTAGATAGAGCTAGAGAGGGTTTTTATTGTAAATGAATGATTATTCAGGCCTGTTGTTATTGGCTCTGGGCCAGAAGTTATCAGCAAATCTGACTTAAGAATACACCAGAGCAAGAAGAGAGGTTGTTATATGAATTGATTATTTAGACTCTATGCCCAAAGTCTATTCATCTAGTAGTCAGATTTAAAGGGAAAAGAAGGTTAGAGAGATTTAGGGAACCTATGACTGATACAGCGGGGGTATTCACCCCAGGGTGCAAATACCTAAAAAAGCTGACACCTCATACAATTGCTCCTTGAAAATCAATTCAGTACAGATTGGCTGGGGTGAGTGAGGTAGGAAAAGACACAAGTGTGAATGTAACAATTGCTATAACCACGTGGTTGTGGAACAGAAGCTTCCTCAGACATGATTCAAGATTTTAGACTTGCTGCTGTTCAAATTAACTTGGCTTCAGCTCTTTTGACATATGGGTTTCTATTATTTTTTTAAATTTTGCATACAAAAACTGGGAGGTAGGCCCAGAAGTCTGGGGAGGGGGTGAGAGAATTCATCAGAGACAGAGTGGAGAGCTGAACAACAGATTGGCTGGAATACACTGCTGAGGGAGCAGTGGGCAAGAGAGGAGAGGTCTGTTGTGCCATGTGAGTCGCCTTCTTGGCCAGGGATTGAACTCATGCTGCAGTAGCTCCTGATAGCTTCAAAGTGCTCAGACTTAACCCCTTGTGCCACCAGGGAGGCCCCTGCAATGGGTTTTATTAAGCCAGCAACACTTACAATTATGCGGTATTGGTATAGTTTTTCAGCTGATATAGCAAATGGTGTATTCTATATGTGTCTTCAGTACATTTTTTTTAAAGATTTATTTATTTACTCATACAGAACTGGGGTACAGGCCAGAGATGCGGAGGGTGAGAGGATTCACCAGGGACAGAGTGGGGAGCAGAACAGGCAGATCGACAAAGTACACTGCTGAGGGGAGCAGTGGGCGAGTCAGGAGAGGTCTGCCACGCCATGTGGTCACCTCTGGGGCAGGCAGGGATAGAACTCATGCGGAAGTGGCTTAAGCTTCTTAGTGCTGTGCTTTAACCCACTGCGCCACCAGGGAGGGCCCATCTCTTCAGTACATTTTAAGCAAATACAGTGAATGCTTTATCATCTCTGGTTGGGGACTTTATGCCTAGAATTTATGCCCATTCCAAGTATTGGGTATGCATGAGTAAGTTAACTCTGAAAGGTTAGAGTCCATCATTTCAAAGCAACAATGTCCAGTAGAACTTTCTACTTTCAAGGATTGAACCTACACTGACAATCTATTTCTACAACGACAAAATCTTCTGTCTCTTCTATCCAATTTGGTAGCCACCAGCTCTATTGGTTACCATATTAAACCGTGCTTTTCCAGAGAAATAACTGACAAAATACAGTAATGACATTTTCACCATTTACATGAGTAGACAAATTTAGTCTTCATTTGACTAGAATTCTTTGCAGTAACTGAGTATTCATCTTATAGACTCTCTCTTCTCTAGGTTTCTTCTTCTATTTTCTCTTGGATGCTTCCTTCTCTGCTTGCATCAATGCTAGGATTTTCCAGGCATCAGTCCTTAATCTTTTTTTCTCTATGAACTCTCCCTATGTAATATTATCCATTCTCAGCATTTACTGAGTGCTCACTATGCTTAGGCATCATTCAAAGCATTTACTATACACCATCTGACTTCGTTATCACTATTTGTATAAAATCTAAGTACATTGTTATCTTCATTTTACAGGCGAGAAAACAGAAGCTTAGCAGATTCAAGTTACTTGGTCAAGTCACATCTCATCACTGTGAAGCTGATTCCAACAGATAACTGACTCCTGACTCACTGCTTGGTGGCCACCATTAAGCTGCTGAGCCTACCTTCTGTATCTGCTGCCAAGACCACATTTCTCACTGGATAGTTCCATATAAGTGTATTAAAAGCATTTTGAGTTCAGTGTGAGAAAAATGTAAGCTCTTCATCTTTCCAGGTGCACTTTTTTCTTTTCTACTAGTCTCTGTTCTGTTAATCACTGTGTACCAATTTAGAACAATTCACCTATCTTGGGAGGTCATCCTAGCCTCACAATAAATCCAACTGATGTGTCTTGAATTCGTTAGCTTTTATCCATTTTCGCTGTCAGTACATGATACACATCTTTTAATACCTGAACTTCTACAACAGTCACCTAACTATAAGTCTTTCAGCTTATGGTTCCTCCTCCCATCCACTTATCCACCAACTTTCTAGTTACTTTTGCAAATCTTTTGATAATATAAAAGATTTCTCATGGGCTCCCCATACAAGGTCTTCATGATTTTATCCCTGCCTCCATATTTATTTATATTCTCTGTATTATAGTCTTTATGATGTGGAGAATAATAATCTGTACTGTGTAACTAGGCGATGGTTATATCATAAACCTGTTATTCCTTTTCTCAAAAAATGCTCTTAGCTTCCTTTATATTTTACTATCTTCTTATTTTTCTTATAAGACTTATTTCAACTTTTGCATCCTCGGGGAAGCCTTTCCTCACCTTCCCAGGTAGAGTCAACTCCTCCTTCTTTGGTGCCCTCTGTGGTTCCTATTCAAACCTCTTTAATAACGCATATTATACCACTTAGCCTTTACTTAGGTGTCTCTGTGTCCCCTATCTACTGGGAACCCTTAAAAGGTGGGACTGGTTCTGAGTCCTTGGTACTTCCTCTGAGCCTAGTCCCTAATGGGTACACTGAACTGAGAACAGAGTGATGTCTTTGGCTAGACCCAAAGCAGAAACCCTACACACTACAATTCTATTTTTAATATAGTTTGTTTAATCTTGGGGAGAGACTCTGGAGACCAAAAACATCAATCCACTATGGAATCACTTTTACTTGAGTAATTCCAGTCACGAAATGAAAATGAGTGTGACACCATGTCCCACCTGATAGTGATGATCTGACCAATGCTCAATTCCAGGTCATTCAATTGTGCAATAAACACAGCTGCCACTGCTTCATAGAGTGCAGTTCCATCCATGTTGATTGTAGCACCAACTGGCAGCACAAACCTAGTGATCCTCTTGTCTACTTGGTTCTTTTCTTCAGCACAGCGGAAAGTGACAGGCAGTGTTGCTGAGCTGTGTGATAAAAAGAGACAGGAAGTTATGGTCTATGAGTCCTGGTTCTCATGCCCTAGCTGAAGAGATAACTGCTACTTAAAAACTAAACAAAGATTCAAAGGCATGCTAGCATTTTTGGAAGGTGCAGGAATCAGAAGATGCTCAGCTTGCCACTGCTCCCAGCTATACCATAATCCCTTCATGGCTGCAAGTCATTCCCAGAGGGCAGGGCATACTGAACAAGGTGAAGAAGTATGTTTGTGGACATGGAGAGAACATGGAGGTCATTTCTCAAATTAAAAGTGGCCACCACAACCACAAGTGGCAGCCGGTGCTTTATCAAGTGAGGTGAAAGTCATGTGGCTTATGGATTTCTTCCAGACATCCCTCTTTTCTTTACCTGGAGGATATCATCAGAGCTGTCAAGAGAGCTTGGGCCATACCCATGGCAAATCGGAAAGGATTCTTTCGTACGATTATGAAATATATCAGGGGGAGAATTACAATGGAATGTATTGCAAGCCTGTAAATGAGAAACAGATCCATTCATGATGTCACATTTTCAAACAGCATTTTTATTTATAATATTCAATTTTCACAAAGACCCACTGAGAAAATGAGATAAAGACCAGGAATATATGTCCCTGTTCCATGTATGAGGATGTATGAATTCACTCAGCAAATGAAGTCCAAGGTAGTAGCAAGGTCAAGAGATAAATGCACATTTCAGAGCTCACAGAGAAGTCAGGTCATACTGCCAAGCCTTGCAAGCACTATTCATGCTCACCAAACTAAAACATTTCACTTTCTTTGTGCTGAATTCTTCCTCTTTAAGATTCAATACAACTTCCTCCTCTGCGAAGCTTTCTCTCACCTTCCCAGTTTGAGCTGACTCTTCACACCTATCACAGCCCTGTACTTAGCCCCTCTAGAGCTCCAGATCTTGCTGCTGTCTTGCTAGATGGCACCCCCTGTCTAGGGGGTCTATTGGGGTTGCAGGAAGGAGAAAGGAACAGTTGTACTTCAGGATGTACCCTCTGTTCTTTACTGTTCCTCCGTTCTACAACTCTTTCTTATTTCATGTAGAAATATACAGGCTACACAAAGTAGGGGAGTTATGAAATGAGACTGATTCAACATATGACAAGAGTGTATAAGGAACAACTTAAGAGTTAACAGATTATTCTGCAAAGATGAAATAATAAGAAAGGGTCATTGCAAACAGATCCTTCCCTACTAGCTGGTAGGGGTGGATTTTAGTTAACAAGATTAAAAACCAAATGCTATTTAATGGAAACTCCCAGTACAACTGAATTCCAACATTTAGGTATTTGGGGGCACTGATAATGTTTACTCATTCCCTTGGTTCATATTTCTTGGAGCATGTGATATGCCATGTCCAGGGGCATGTGATAACTATCTGTCCAGGGGCACCAATTATAACCTACTACACCTCCCCTCAAGGAACCAGTAACTGGGCTCTAATAATTATTCAAACAACAATTATGCAAACAGCTCTAATAATTATGCAAATAATTATACACAATTCCATCTTGAAGAGTTTCCCAGAATACTCTCTGACACTTGGGGTGTGGCAGTGGGTAGCTGCACCACTGTCAGGGTTGGCACAACCAGCCTTCCTTGTTTTCATTTACTCTAGTCTGATTTCATATAGGCCTTGTTTAATTTTTGTCAGTGTTAAGGTACATGGGGCAGGGAGCTATTCTTCCTAGTTTTTATTTTTAGATTCCATCTTTAAGGAAGTAGCCAAGAGATAGAGCCAAGACGGCTACCAGAGGGTTTCGCTCTTGTAAAAAAGGATTTTAAACACTAATAAAAGGTGGCAACAGAGGCTGGTCTAGGCTGTTCTGCCAAGATCTGGCAGTTAGCACAGTGTGATCCACCTCCAGTGCAGCTGGTAAAGGGCACCTCCTGCTTACTCTCTTATCTCTAAAGCCCATCTTTCCCTATATGTGGGCGAGAAGCTGATTTTAACCAACTGAAACTTAGTCTTTCAGCAGCAATCCACTGGCTCAAATGAGGTTTCCATTTCTTTTACCAAGTCTGACATACCCACTGAGGACAGTGGCCATGTAAAGGCCCAGCTTACGGAATATTTCCCAGTCTTCAACTTCTATGATCTTCCCGGCAATCAGGAACAAGATGCCAAGTGGCATATAACTATAACAAAAGCAGAAAAAGACATGCTTCTATCATCAGGGTTTTTCTCAGGGTGGGGCTTGTCGGGAAAGAAATTAGTCAGACATTTACACCCTCAGCTTGGTGAGTGCCCTCAGATGGGAGGAGTGCAGGGCACACAAAGAAGCTAAGGTCTCAGGTTCAGGTCTTGGTAGACAAGCTGGCTCCAGGTTTCAGCATCTGTGTATACCTTAAATTCTAGTCCCTAGGTGACCATAATAAGGCAAACTTGGGGAGAACATGTGGTTAAACTAGTGCATATCCCACTCTCTGCCCTCATATACATATATCCTGCTGATTACCATATCTGTAAGCTTGCCCCTCCAAATATGGCAAATAGGTTCTTTTAGCCACAGTCACTTGTTCCCTAGGTAGTAGCAGAAACAGAGCAATGCAATCAGTAAGGAAACGATAGTAACAGCTGTTTGTGAAGCATTCAGTACATGCTTTGTGTTGGGTTACATGCATCTTTGCACTTACTGTACTTCTAATTTACTGCACACTTTGTTATCTTGTTTTATGGATGGTCAAACTGAGGTTCAGCAGGATTAAATGACTAGGCTAAGTGGACTTTCTGGCATCTCTAGGGACTGGGCAGATACTTGGGCAGGTTTCATTTTGATAAGTTATGCCCTTTCTGTGTTCTGCATATCACTTCTATAAGGGACCTGATAAAGACAGCATTTGTGTTTTGATAAACAAGGAACTTCTTCATATAATTCTTTTAAGAGTTACTTCTTACATGAATGCTGATTGGGTGTACGGTGATCTGGCATTCTGGTTGAAAAAAAAATGGCTGATATCTGGACTTTTGTTAGTGAGATAACATGTAACTAATACATGACATTATTTAATACTCTAGTATCTTGATGTGATTATCTTCTCTAACATGAGGTCAGCTGAGAAACATAAACCTCTTCATTCTAGTTTTGAGGGGAAAGTCATTAAGGAAAGCAAGATGGCATTAACAGGTGTAGCTCACCACATAATGATCTGAACGATTTTCATGGTTGCATCACTTAGAGCATTGAAGAAATCCACCAGAATCTGTCCTCTTTCTCCCATTTTTCCAATAACAAGTCCAAAGACGAGGCAAAAGACAATCAAGCCCAGGACATTTATACCATCTGAATACATGCCTATGATTTTGTATTCCTTTGTTTGGTTCTGTGGATCAAACCCAAAAAATATATTGATGAATGATTATAAGCTTGTTAAAATACAAAGGGCCTAAAATGAAGAAGATATGATAGTCAGACATAATAAATTTGTGATCTATCAGGGTCAACAATCTTAAGAAACCTGTAGAAAAAAAAAAAAAACAATCTACGTATGTAACAGATTGTGCTGCCCCCACTCTTTACCACTGAGGCTTGAACTACTTTTTCCCTTTTTCTTGCTCAGTAAGACCATAGTGAATATATCATTTTAAGACTTTTTAGTTTGGATTGCCTTACAGTTTTACTAAAGAGGTTAAGATCAAGGCATTCTTCAGGACTTATTTCAACTACTAGCTATATGTGTAGCCTGCATTAAAAAAAAAGGAATTAATAATTCAAGAAACACAAAATATTTACCAGTGGGAACATTTTTAGGATATTTATTGTTTTCTCCTGATAATGAAGCACAGTAACACAGTACTGCTTTGAATCTCAGATGACCAACAACATTAAAAAAATGTTAGCTTGAGACCCTTCCTGGGTTAAAGCACAGCACTATGAAGCTAGCCAAAGCTGCTTTAGTGTGAGTTTGTTCCCTGGCCAGGGAGGTGATCCACATGGCGTAAGAGACCTTTCCTGTCTTGTCTGCTGCTCCCCTAAGCAGTGTATTTTGTCAATCTGCCTGTTCTGCTCCCCATTCTGTCTCTGGGGAATCCTCTCACTGCCCCTGCACATCCGGCCTGTACCCCAGTTCTGTATGCATAAATAAATAAATATTAAAAAAAATGTTAGCTTGATACCTATAACTATGCACCATTTCTTTACTTTGTTCTTGGCAAGAACAGCATGAGACTTCCTGAGTGATAACTTAATCTGAGTGGGACAGTATGAGATTTACTCAGATTTCACAAGGAGATAATGTAATTTGAGTTGTGCAAACCAGGTTTATAAGAATTATGTTGAGAAGCCATTGGGGTACCAGTCATTTTGAAATTATTATCTAATAAAATCAAACACATATTTATCTAGCAGTTAGAATGTGCTAACTGCACTGGTGACAGCATTAAGTCTTAAAATGCAGCTGGAGAGACAAGACTATGAGCTAATGAAAAAAGATGGTGGCTAATTAATTGCACGGCCATCATATGAAGATTGGGGACATAAATGAGGGCCATGAGGTTAGGGGAAGCTAGGTTTGAGGAATAGGAAACCAAACAATGAAAGCAGATTTCTGAAAATGGTAAACAAAGGCAAAATTATTATGTACCAGCCTCTGTATCTTGCATAGATGATAGCTTTATGGTCCCCAAGTAAATTGAAACTTCCCCATTAATGCCACATAGTCTTCATATTGCAACAGTCACTATTCTTCACATGAAGGCAGAGGACACACTTGTCTTTTCACTCTTTTAAACTCAGTGCCTTACAGGGTTTGGCATAAGGAAGATGCTCAGAACATTTTCATGGAACTGCATGAAAAGACAGAGTAACTGAGGAGACAGGTCTGAATAATAAGGATAGAACAAGGGGACCACCAGGGAGCAAACTGAGAAACTAGAGAGGAGCCCAATATGGTCAGTCACTGAGCCAGTCAGAGAAGTTCAGGCAGAAGGAAGCAGAGAACCAGCCATAGTCTGCTGAATGTGAATTCTGAAGGGTTCTGAATATTTCATTTTTACTTGAATCTGTTCTCCTGTGTAGAGACGGTGAAATCCATTACATCACTACCAGGCTATCATTTCAGGCCCACAGTCTAGTCTCCAATGCTGAAATGAACCAAGCTTTTAAAATACATTGATTTAATGGCAAAACCTTTCCTAAACGGAGATTTCATTCTGATAATGAAGTACAGTAACACAGTACTGCCTTGAATCTCAGATGACCAACAATATTTCAGCAACATTAAAGATTAAAAATACAGTCTATTTCTTTTGCTTGGAAGAATGTTCATAATGCTGCAGAAACACTGATGTGCTTGATTCTAGAGCATTGTTTCCAGTCCCACTTACACATGCAACATAATACACAGTACACTGCGTAGCCCTTCTAACATCTGAAAAACTCTGGATGCTGAGTTAACGTTTGGGCAGAGAAGAAGCCACTGTGGGTCTGCATTCTCCATTCACACAGCCAAAGGAGGCTACAGCAGCCCCCAAGGTGCCAACTCGGCTCTAAGCAGTGGCAGGATATTGGGGCAAACGGGCTCATTCTTTTTTCTATGTAGCTCAGTCCATTTTCTTCATTCTTGGTAGTTGTGTTCTCTAAGGTGGGTACCAACACCTTATTAGTGAATATATTTTATACTTTAGAAGGACAGGTTTATCAGGAAAAGGAGAAAAAGTGAGGCACCTGTATAGCCACAGGTGGGTGGGAGATCTGCATATGAGGGAGTAATGCACCGTTGTTCTTAGAGGAAACAAAAGATTAGGTTTCTGGGAACCAATGGCTACAAGATTTTTGTTAATTATCAACATAAAATCCTGCCTTATGTGAATCTCTATTCCATGACATTATTTAACATATACTATTGAGTGATGATGTTAAACTCACAACCAACACACTACAACTGATGCCTGAATGAAGAGTAACACACAGTCTCCAAGCATACCGCAGCCTTTTTGTGCTTAGGAATACTCAATGGCACTTCAGCACCGTTTTTAAACAGTGAAAACATTTTGAACAGTGAATTCACCACGTAAAAGCACAAGAATGTAGAAAATATGGCCTAAACATAACACAACAAGGCTTTTAGTGCTTATAGTGTGAGAGCTGAAACAAGAAGGCAGAGTATAGCTTTACTCATCCTCTGCAGGGAACTTGTGCATTGAATGACTTAGTAGTTTTCACTGCTCTCTGCAGGTCTGTGAATGACCATGAAAATATCTTGAATGTTAATTTTGGTATTGTAAATTATATTTTAGCGAGTAGACGAATTCACAGACGTAGAATCTGTGAATAATGGTGATCAACTGTATTTCCACCTCCTGCTCTGCTGAATGGGGAAGGTGGGACAGGTGATAAAGAAAGGGACGGTACCTTGGAAACTGTAGTTGTCATGATGGTTGTGACCTGTGCGTCTGTCATGTTTGTCCCCGGTCCAGTGGGAGGCTGCACTTCTTCACGCTTGGTTTTGTACTGTGTGTTGGAGGAAAAAGGGGGACAAAGAAACAATCAAAATGAGGCTTTTAAACTTGTGAGTCTAAACCACAGCTAACTACATGCTACTTTGTCCAAATAATTGCTGCTGATGGGTTTGCTCTCCAACAGCTCTGTTAGCTTGTTTTTGATAGTATAACTCATGAGGCCTTGAAAGCAAAAGTGGAATTGAGAAACCCAAACCCGTGATTCCCACAGAAACCATTCATTCAGACTGTTTCTCTCACTTTCACAATGAAGGGAGGGTTAGTAAAGCTCTGATATCAAAGAAATTATAGGTTTTATTTGTAGGTGTTGTAACAGAGGACACTATAGAATCCTGTCAATCATTTTTGTTTCTGTTTATTTATTCACTTACTATTTTTCCACTTTGATAAATGTAGTTATCATGACTTTAATAAACATGAAGAATTACATGGTTGTTCCAAAATCAACAGTTCCTTTATGGCTATTCTGTGAGTGAGATTCCAGTTAAATTCCCAAAGTTTTAGCACAGAGGTTGAAGAAGCTAGTATCCTGTTACATGGGCATAAATGTGACTCCTACAAGATTCTGCCAATACCAAGGACCTTACAAATGACCACTGTGGCTGAACTGCAAAGGCACCTCTGAAATAGAGGTGATTCTGTGCCTCTTGGAGGTTGGCAGGGAGCAAATTAGTTGCCATTTTTGTTGCTATACACAGAGGTCTCTGTTCATGTAATTTATGTAAATAAATACTGCAGTTTGTATTAGGCTCAGCTGTGACTTAAAGTGATAAACAAGAGAGAAAGGCTTGAAGGAAATGAACAGATTACTAAATTTTTCTAGAGGAAATCATGACTGGGTTATGTTGGCTCTGTAGAAACCAGAAATGAGGAGGGAATGATCAAGAAAAGGCCTAATGGCAGGAGCACTAACCATCCACGTAGTCAATGAAATCACTGATTCCCAGTATGAAAGGAGAAGGAACAAGGAGTGGAGGACTACCTTTTCATGGCATTGCATCTACAGGGAGCCTACATATCTTCACAAATACAACGTGGGTCTCCAAAATAGGTACTAAGCCACATTTTAAAGCACTCTTGGTTTGGCAGGTGTCTGACTTGCCCTATTTGAGTCCTCCATTTGAATAGCACAATGGAAAGGCGAGCAGGGTTAGCAATGCCACTCAGTGCCCTGAGGTCGGGAAGACCAGTCTCCTGAAATTCCCCCATTTGCGGGCACTTTTCCTGCTGCCAGTTTTGATGGACGGATTCCATTTCTTGGATCACACCAGGAGGTGGAAATTTAAATAGTAGTGAGAAGAAAGGAGAAACTGGAGGGCAAAAGTCATTACCTGCTGAAAACAGGCTTGTACAAGGTTCTCAGGGAACATATTCCTATTGGAGACATGAAAAGCAGAATTAAGGCAAAAGGTTTTTGTTTGGTCATACCTAATACACTAGTAGAAATCAGTACAATATAGAATCAGTATTCTGGTTTCTCATCTGGCCCTTCTATTAAGATCTGTTTTTCTCTGGTGAGCATCAAATAGGTATAGAAAGCTCTCCTCATAGACCATCACTTAACTGAGTCAGAGTGTAAATGGTAAGCTTGTTGTCCTTGGTGAAACCATACTTGCTTTGGCAGGTAGACACTCACAGTTAAGAGAATTCTTTCATATTCTGCACATTTCTGTTTTTATCAATTAGCATGTTTGCTTATGAAGGGTCCACTGTATTTGTTCCCACAGTCTCTATGCCAATTGCAAATTAGCATTAGCCACTATGTGAATCAATCAAATATGGGTGTGAAAAGGAATGGGTGGTTTCTATAAAATTGAGCTGACTGCTGGAAACTAACCAAGGCAACTAAAATTTTTGTGGTTAAATTAGATATGGGAAGATTACAGAAATAGAAAACTGGGAAGGATTTGTTCCTCAGAATTCTTTGCAAATTCCAAAGGTTTGTTACATTGATTAACAAAAGCTGAATTTGGAAATTATAAATGATTCATTCATAAGGGCAGCACATGCAACAAAAATATGAAATTATAATCAGCTGACATGCCTGAAGAAAAAACCTTGGTTTGGCATTAAAAAACCACGTAAGTACATTTCAATTTTAAGTGAAAACAAAATATGTAATACCATTGGAATAATTTTTTTTTGACTCTGCTTTTGTTGCTATTTTAAAAATTGATTAACCAATCTCTGGTACTAATTACTTTAGACAAGCCTGTTTATTCCATTCCTTCTTGGACCCGCAGCCTGGCATGAAGGACTGACTGTATAACTTGTAGGGTCCAGGGCAAAAGAAAAATGCACAATTCAAACATTGTGCATCCAGGATGGCAATTAAACCAAGCATGGGTTTAATGCTTGGTCTGTCTGACCATCATACTATCAAGACCCTTACCTGATCAGATCTAACATGGCATCCACTGTACTGACTTCAGGGCTGTTGCCAGTTCTGTCAATATCAGACACTTTCTGGGTGACACCAGGCTTGATGCTCACCACTAGCACAATACCTACAGCCAAGAAAAGCAACCACAGAACGTTAAAAATCCTCAGGACATCTAACACCACTGTCCCATCCTTCTTAGAAACATTAGGCATGGTAGTACCAAGCAGTATTGGGATGGGGGCTCCCCCAAGTCCAGCCAAAATGCTGAACATTAACCGGGACTTTTGCAATAGCCTGAAATACTTTTCCATTTAGACAGATGAGTAGAAGGTAAGCGTTTGCTTTTGAGTTAGAAAGGGCTATATCCCAGAATTGCTTCTGGACATAACTGTAGATGAGATATTCTTTCTTTCTTTCTTTCTTTTTTTTTTTTTTTAAGCTTATGAGGTCATCTAGGTAGGTATTGGAGTGAGGATGATTCATTTTCCCAATGGGGGCACTCACAAATGTCTTTTTGCAGCTTTCAACTGTAGATACTAGCTGTTTTCCTGAAAGTCCTACAGAGCAAGTCTTACCTTCCTTTCACCCTACAAATATCAAAAACAGTTGTGTATCCAAAAAGGGTTATGGCTAGGAAAAGTGTTCTCTGTGACTCTTAAGAGGTGGAATGAGGACAAACAGCAAGGAGTTACAAGGAGAGATTGTTCTTACTGTCAAGAAGAATGGTTTGAATGGAAAGCAGTTGAAAATGCCACCCTGGCCTTTGGAGGTAATGGGTTCCTGTCCAAGGTATGAGATTGTTTGACTGGAGAGAAGTGAAGAAGAAAAAGTGTCTGTGCCCTTGATCACCTTTTCCAAGGGGAAAAGCCACTCCAGGAGGATGGGACCGAGTTGATGAATGAGCCAGTTTTGCTAGTGGTGGGAGTTACAGGACAACAGAAGGGCCAGGAGAGGACACAGTCCACTTTTCCTGTCAGGGTTGCAGAGGAGAGAGAAGCTAAGGGATAACCTTGCTTTCTCCTTATGAGGAGATACTGCTTTGGTTTAGGGAGGGTTCAGGCTCTCCTAGGCCCTTGACTTAGCTAACACTGAAACTGGACCACATCCCTACCACCTCTTATAAATTCATTTAAGCAGAGCTGTAAGGGTCAAGCTGGCTGAATATTTGAGTATACTCTCTTCCTATCTTCCTACTCTGGGTGTCCTTCTTAAAATGTCATTATCATGACATTTTACACCACACTGTCTTCACATGTCAGAGGTGTAAGAGCAGTTACTCTCTGATTACAGCTTTTTCCTCTCTTTCAAATGGGATTCCTACTTAGTAAAAAGACTCTGTGGTCAGCTAGGTACTATGTAAAATTTGAAATATACTACAATGTTAGCATTCTGGAAATATAATTATACTCAACTCCACTATTCTAGACTAATTACCGACTTTAAGGTTTATATAAACTCTTGACTTCATTTCTTGATGAATGATGCTGATAGCACAGAACTGCCACCCTGTTTCTGTCTCCCCCATCCCCAGGGACATTAATAAGCAGTACCTTGGCTAAAATTTAGTCAACATTAGATTCCTCATATAAAAGTGCTGTGTAGCTTTGCAAGCCCAAAAGCTTCATAGTACTTTGACAAAGCTACTTTCTGTTTAATAAGTAATTATGGGTGGTTTGTTGGAGGGTGAGTAGAGTATGTACACACATGAAAGAACAATAATATAATCCCAAGAGAAAATTTTAAAAAGTACATCTAGTAAAGTTTACTTTTAAAGGAAAAGTCACAGTTACACAGAGGGATAAAGATTCAAAAAGAAATACTACCTAGAATTACAGCAATGGCAGTGGTACAGAAATAATATACAACAGCACGCAGACCAATTTTCCCAGATACATTGGAATCCAGTGCAGCGACACCTGAAAGAGAAATCAAATTACATTAGTTTTTTTAAAAAGATTTATTTATGTATACAGAACTGGGGTATAAGCCAGCAGTGGAGGGGCGGTGAGAGGATTCACCAGAGACAGAGTGGGGAGCAGAATAGGCAGATCGTGGAAGTATACTTATGCTGAGGGGAACAGTGGGTGGGTCAAGAGAGGTCTGCTGCACCATGTGGGTCACCTCTGGGCGGGGATCGAACTCAAGCATAAGTGGCTTTAGCGTCTCAGTGCTGTGCTTTAACCAGCTGTGCCAACAGGGAGGACCCAAATTACATTAATTTTTAAAAGGTTAATTTCCAGTACTGTTGGAATTCAATCATCAAGGTGTGGGATAAAGAGAATTTCTCTGCACCCACTAGGCCTATCTCATACATTTTGTTTGGATAAGATGTGGTGGACAAAAAGTAGCAGCTCCAGCCCTCCCTGGTGGCACAACAGGTAAGGACGCAGCACTGCATGCTAGCAGCAGCTGCTTCAGTACAAGTACAATCCCTGCCCTGGAGGTGATCCATGTGGCGGGGCACATCTCTCCTGACCCGCCCACTGCTCCCCTCAGCAGTGTACTTTGTCAGATGGCCTGTTCTGCTCCCCACTCTGTCTCTGGTGAATCCTCTCACCACCCCTGCACCTCTGGCCTGTACCCCAATTCTGTATGCATAAATAAATGTTAAAAAAAAAAAAAAGGGGCAGCTCAAGCTTCCTAACACAGCATGGAGAAATAAATGGAAGCCAGGCAGCACAAGTTCCCTTCTGGCTAAGTCCCACTGCCTCAGCCAACAGCCAATACCTTTGGCTTCTCTAGGAGGTGGTCAGGAGACACAGTCAGCATGACTTCTACTATTCCATTTCTTTATGAACTTTATCAAGTTTTTACATTATATCACTTGACAGCCTGCATGATAAACTCCTTACGGAATTCAGTATCCAGGAGAATTTTATCTTGGAGAAGTGAGATAGTTCTTTCATCATATAATGAAGGTCCTCTAACTCAGGATTGTTTTCCTTTCTGTCCTTCCTGTCAGGATAATCAAAATCAACTAAAAAGTATAACTTTTAACTTGTATGTGTGATTATAAAAGCAGTGTATGTTCATCTATATTATATAACAGAAGAAAAAATATAAAGATGAAAAAAATCACTTTATCTTTTCAATCATAGTCAATATTCTGGTAAATTTTTGATTTTTTAAAAATAAATGTAGTTGAGGTAATTTTGTAGTTCTCTAGCCTTTGCCTTTGTCTTTTTAATGCTGTATTACAAATTACAGATTTCTTACTGCTATAGAGTTACCCTGAAGATAATTCTTAAGGCTATATAATCTGTCATGTGACTACCCCATATTGTATTTAATCATCCACATTTTTTTTTAAATTTTAAAAGAACAGGTTTAATAGGGAAAGGAGAAAGAAAAGAAGAGGCCCCTGCAAAGTCACAGGAGCTGCCACTGAGGCTTTGCAAAGGGAGAAAGTTCATGAAAAGAAATACCTTTGTAGTCAGACAGGCACTAGGGCTGCATCTTTAACATTCACTTATTGCTGAATCTCTAGGGCCAAATTTAATAAGTCATAGTACTTTTGTTATTCATCCTGGCTAGCATATATCCTTATTTTCTTTTTTCATGATAGTCAATTTGCTTCCATGTTAACCATTTGTTGAATATGGCTTTGATTGTGAGATATCTTAAAGTTTATATTTCAAAGAAGCTAAAAACAAGTAAAAATTTCTGTGGGCACAGGTAACAAACAGATTTATAGTCACGGTATTAGATCTTGTTTCAAATAATCTTTGGCTGCCAAAATGACTGAATGTTGTTTGAACTTGAAAGGATTGACTTATATGCTAAGGATAGCTGAAGAGGTGGAAGGCATACATCTCTCCTTACTAGAAACCTCTGTTCTCCATCAAAGATGCTCACACAAATGGAGTGTATCTGTCTACCTGGACTGTTTCTATGTGGGACATGGAGCAAGTGAAGAAGCAACTAAGTCATCTTTCAGGTAGTTGTCCTTTGGAGGTTTCAGACCTGCCTGATTCCCAAAATGAAAATCACATTTTAAATCAAATAAATGCAATAGCAAGTGATTTTTTCCTTCTTCATAGCATGAGTTGTCCTGTAACTGCAAATCCTGAAGTACCTACAAGTTAGAAAATGAAGAGGTTGTCAGGGCAGCCCCAAGGAGAAACCCCATGATGGCTACCACCACCTACAAGTAGCTTTTACATTCATTCCTCATACTCTAAATGACCTATCCATCTGGGGAATTATGCTCCTCACATATATTCATACATACTTGATGTACAGGAAAAATCTAAGAAAGCTATCATCATGATGATGACAGAACAAGTTATTTCTCACTCTGAACATATCATTCCTCTCACTGCTGATTGCTCCTTTGAAAGTTAATATTTAGAGAAAAGGGGCTCTGGCCAAACCAGGATGTTGTTAAGGATCCATTCACCAACCTCCAGGAAAAAATTGTTCAATTACCATTTGATAGGCATGTTGCAACAGTTATATCCTAGAATAACCTTGATGACAGATCCTATTTTCTTTCTTTGGGAAAACTAGTTTGGTGTGAAGCGAAGACTTTCTTTTCCTAGTGGTAAGACAATTAAAAAAAGCCAATTCTGCAAGAAATAACAACAAAAACCACACACACACACACACACACACACACACACACACACAAATTAAGAGACACTGAAGGCCACAAATCAGTAATGAATAAATTATCTCATATTTAGTTTTGGTTTCTTAGAAAAAAAGCAACAATGCAAATATATGATTGCTACATGATTATGTGATTATAAAACAAACCTATTTCATTCTCGAGCTCCATACATTGTTTGGATAAATAATAGCAATAATATCAGTAAAAGAGTAGCTTTAAAAAAAAAAAAGCAAGAAAATCACCAGTTAAACAGAGCTCCAAGCAATATGCATAAACACCTGTAATCCTGACCTAGTAGAGAATGTGTTTTCAGGTGAATTGTCCTTTGGTAGATGTCCAATTTATGTGGCTCCCAGTGTCTAAGGTGCTGACAAATGACAGGTTCACAGGGAAGCTGCAGAACTGTTTTCAGGTTTGTGTTCTGTGCCCTCTCAGGGATTTTCTTCAAGCAGTGAAGCAAATTAAATCTATGTGGGTAATTGTTTCCAGCATATGTTAATATGTCTTAATTTGTCTTAATGATTTGGCTATGGGTGGGTACCTCTGCTTCTATTCCAGGACTCAGCTGGCAACAAAAGGCTTCGAATACTGAGATTGCTGGTGGAACTATATTATACAAATACATCTCTAAAACAGCCAGCCAATTCCTCTCCATCAGAGATGAAAAACTATCTGATGTAAGAGTTACTTTCAGAATGAACTACCTCAGTTCTACATTTCCTCTGGAAAACTTACAATTTGTTCAAGCCAACAATCATAATTCTCCACATCTCTTGTGTTACACCTCCACCTCTTTAGCTATCACTGATTGAGGGAAAATCTGGTTCCCAAATCCATCCTCTTAAATGATAAATTATGTGGTAGAGGGGAAGGCGGGTTGACTATCAAGGAGATAGGGAACACACGCTCAGAAACAGTATAGTCTTAGGAAACCTCTGTAACAGGAACATTACTGAACTTAACATGAACATAAAATACATGTTTGGATGGTCTAAACTCTCCACCTGGCAATAATAATGATGCTGGTATCAATGGACACTGTATTGTGAACGACAACATGTTAAGTGTATTATCTCTTTTAATTCTCATATAACCCCATGAGGTAGACATTGGTGTGCCCACTTTACAAAGGAGAAAGCTATGGCTCAAACAAGCTAAATAACATGCTTATAGCCAGTGAGTAGTGGAGCTCATATCCCAAACCAGACTTGACCCAAAGATCATATCCAGGCACTATAGAATTCTCGTCTGCACCACCCAAAGGATTTCTGTGATGATGGAAGTAGTCTCTGCTTGTACTGTCCAGGGAGTGGCCACAAGCTACCTGTGGTTAGTAAGCACTTGATATGTGGCAAGTGACTGAGAAATTGAATTTTAACTGTTTAATTAATCTCAATTTTGTTTAATTTTAAATAATTTCATTTTCAAGAGCTACATGTGGAGAATAGTTACCACATTGGACAGTACAACTTCTAGGTCTTACTGGAGAATTCAACATACAGTGGATGCTCGGTAATGTTGAATAAACAAGCTCAAATTCAATTCCATTAGACAATTCCTGCCAGCACAAGGGCAGGAAAGAGGAAGAGGATAGCCCTTTTTCTTTTGGTATATATTTCCATTACCACTATATTGTTCTAAGGACCAAAGCTTATTTTTCTCTGAGTCTTCACAGCACATTAAATAAGGTACTCTAGGAATTTCACACTCAATGCCGTCTATGAGAAAAAGCTGCACTTGTTTTCAGCTGGTCTATATGTTACAAAGTCATTTTAAAGATCCACTTGTGTCTCAGAGATCAGAAACTCATCAGGTAGTCTGCTTAGAAACCTCTAGTATAGGGTGATTTTGGACTCAGGTAGCCAACCCAACTGCTTTTCACGCACAATAAATCTCCATGTGAAGCTATATCTAGCATCTTAGAATTTTTCAAATTTTTTTTATTGTGTCTTCCATACCCTCCACCCCAACCTTATACTTTTTCCTAATGGCCCACCTCATGAAATTTTACTATCATAAACTGTACATCTGTTGATGTACTAAATGTACATATGTGCTTTTTGCATAAAAAGAGTTTCTCCCCCTCCCACTAAGAACCATCTTTTGTTGCATTGGTGGCAGTAGTGCTCCTGTGGAGAACTTGTGGTCTCAGGCCTGTGGATGTTATGGTTACCTTGACCCAGAAGTTAGATTCTGAAGAGAGTTGTCTCTCTATCAATCCTTGGTCACACTCACCACTCTCAAGTGTTTACTAGCCTGCGGCCACTACATGAACAGCACAAACAGAGACCTGTCCTTCACCAC